ACTCATTAACTCTGCAGTGGTCCCCCTCCGTCCTGTAGTGCCTAACCCTTATACTCTCCTGTCCACTATCCCTTTGGGAACCTCCCACTTCTCAGTTCTAGATCTCAAAGATGCATTCTTTTCTATTCCTCTCAGTCCTCAGTCTCAAAATATCTTTGCTTTCACCTAGACCGACCTTGACACTCACCTGTCCACACAGCTGTCCTGGACTGTTCTGCTACAGGGATTCAGAGACAGTCCACACCTATTTGGTCAGGCTCTGGCCTCTGACCTGCTTTCTCTGTCTCTCTCTGGCTCTAAACTAATACAGTATGTAGATGATATTTTACTCTGTAGCCCGTCCTTACAGGTTAGCCAAACTAACACCTCTGCTCTCCTAAATTTCTTATCCAGCCGAGGTTACAGGGTATCTCCTTCTGAAGTTCAGCTGTCAACTCCCCAGGTCACCTATTTGGGTCTAACCATTACTCCAACCCACAAAGCTATTACTGTAGACAGAAAGCATCTAATCCAGTCTCTTACAGTCCCTTCTACTAAACAGAAGATTCTGTCTTTCCTAGGAATAGCTGGCTTCCTATGGTCTTGGGTTCTATCTTTTTCTCTCCTTGCTTGCCCCTTATACGAGGCAGCTCAGGGCTCACCACATGAGCCCCTCCTCCATCCTATCACTAAACCTTTCCAGAAGCTCCAACAGGCTCTTCTTCAGGCCCCAGTGCTTCATCTTCCAGACTTAACCCATCCATTCTCCCTCTATGTAGCAGAGAAGGAGGGATTTGCCCTGGAAACTCTAGGGCATCAGCTGGGACCCTCCTTTGCACCTGTAGCCTATCTGTCAAAGAAGCTAGACCTTACCAGTCAGGGCTGGGCACCTTGCATCCGTGCCTTAGCAGCTGCAGAGCTCCTTATTTGGGAATCAAAGAAGCTAAGCTTTGGGTCACCCAATACTCTCTTCTCTCACCATAATCTGTCCCATCTCTTAGCTTATAAAGGCTTACAAACTTTATCTCCTTCCTGGGTTCTTTCTCTCCAGGTGGCATTACTAGAGGATGCCACACTTACTTTCTGGACTTGTCCACCTCAATATTTCAAGCCTCCTCCCTCAACCTAATGCTGACTATTCTCCTTCTCATTCCTGCACTGAAACCTTAGAGGAACTGTTACCTCACGCTTCACACATACAGGAGGGCACATTGCCTCAGGCTACTTATACCTGGTACACAGATGGCAGCTCCTTTTTATATGAAGGGACCTGTAAAACAGGTTATACCATAGTGTCACATAGAGACACAGGCATTACTCACACATACCACTAACCAACAGGCTGAGCTGATAGCTCTCACCCATGCCTTCCAATTGGCACAAGGACAATCTCTAAATGTTTACACAGACTCCAAATATGTTTTTTATATCCACCTGTCCCATGCTGCCATTTGGAGGGAGTGTGGCCTTCTTACAGCAAAAGGGGATCCATATCTAACTCAGGCCAAATAATGGCCATGCTGGAGGCTTCCCACCTCCCCAAGGCTATAGGATTTGTCCACTGCCAGTCTCATCAGACCAATAGCTCTATCATCTCTAAGGGAAACAATTGGGCTGACCAGGCAGCCAGGACAGCTGCCCTCCAGGGCCAAGTTTCACCTCACCCACCACAGAGAATCCATACAGTACAACTTACATCCTCACAGGAAACTCCAGACACTAGACAAATTCTTTCCTATCTACACCAGCTCTTTCATACTAATAATCTTGCTCTGTCTCAATTTGTAAAAGCTCACCTGCAGCCCACCTTGGAGGACTTATAGTTCTTAAGAACTATTACTGCCTCTTGTGAGATCTGCCAAAAAACAGATCCCAATACCAAATACAGGAGTCAGCCTTTTCCCACCCACCAGGCTTCCCTTCCAAGGACTGACTGGCAGCTTGATTTTACCCATATGCCCACCGTCAGGAAAGTTAAATATCTCCTCGTGATGGTGGACTCATTTTTCAAATTGGATGGAGGCATATCCAGTTTCTAATAAGCGAGCTCAGACAGTTGCAGACCTCCTTCTCTGAGAAATTATTCCTGCTTCTCTTCAGTCTGACAATGGCCTGGAGTTCACCTCTCAAATTTCTCAGACACTAGCTAAGGCTCTTAACATTCCTTAACATACCGTTCTCAATCCTCAGGAAAGGTGGAGCGTACCAACAAATGTCTTTAAAAACTATTCTTACTAAGATGTCACAGGAACTTCACCTTGACTGGGTAAGATTATTGCCTCTAGCTCTTCTCAGACTCAGGGCCCTTCCTAAAAAGCCTCTTTCAATTTCTCCATTTGAACTAATGTATGGAAGGCCAGTTCTAATACCAGGTCTTTTATCCAACCCTCCAGACAGCCTGTTAACTCCCCTTTTATGTCACCTAAGGTCTATCCTATGGAGCTATGCAGACTGTTCATTACCTCAGATGTGTGACAATAATTGTCCACCTCCAATCCACATCGGGGATCAGGTTCTTCTCTTGCCTCCAGGCCAGCGCCCTTCACCCCTTTCCCCTAAGTGGCAGGGACCCTTCAAGGTAATCCTTGTAACTCCTACAGCTGCTAAACTCGAGGGCTTTCCTCACTGGGTCCACCTGTCTCATCTAAAACCTTTTATCTCACCTCCATCCCAGAAAAATCTCTCTTCATATACATCAAACACAACAGAGCCTTGTTCTCTCAAGCTCCAGAGGACATCAGGAGCCACTGCCTTGTCATCAATTCCAGAGGAATAAGGTATCACCCCTTCCTTTCCCAACTAGGGCGACACAGAGCTAGAGGCAAAAAGGACCATCAAAAATATCCAGGCAGTAAGAAAAAAAATGTAATATAACAGTGACCATGTGATCTACGCACATGAACATCATTGTTCATTACTCAGCAACTGATCACCTGCATTTCCTAAATGCTAAACTAATGAAGGAAACAGATGCCTTAAATAAACGACCTCTAATAAGGCTTGTCTCAGGTAAAAATTAAGCAGAGTACTAAGGCCAGATCTACCTCAGGTAAATGTTAACTCCAAAAATAAAGTAAAATGATTCTTTTTTTCTCTAAGCTTTTTCTATGTCACCAGTATCTTGTCAGACAAAAGGTTCCCAGCCACACCACGAAGGATGGACAGCTGCAGAGCAAGGGGACGACAGAACTTCATTCCAGGACTCCCACCATCATGCAGGACTTCAGAAGCTACCCTCCCCATTTCCCCCAAGAGCCAACTGATGCCCACCATTCAGCCGTAAGCAGTCTTTGAGAGAAACAATGCCCCATACCCACTCATGCACCATTTTCTCTTAAAAAAAAAAAAAAAAAAATAGCTAGTCCAGGATGATAGGGATTCACAATACACCCCCATGGTTGCGGACCTAGACACTTCTGCCTAGCCATTTCTGGGTCAAAACGTCTCACGTGACCAAGACCCCGTGGCTTTGCGTGGTTGCATAAAGCACACAGCAACCATGTGATCTGCGCGCATGCGTGGAGTAGCCACATGGCCCTGTGTGTGCAGGCGCTGCCCAGCCTTTATAAGCAGGCACCATATTCCCGGCTCCATCTCTTTATTCACGTGTCTTTCCCACAGGCCTGAGCACATCTCTCTCTCTCTCTCTCTTAATAAAACTCTTGTTAGTGGATTCTGCCATGTTTCGTGACATTTCCTCGAAGGGTAAGAGCACCACAAATAACTAACAACTGCAAAGGCAGTCAAAGCAAGAAGGTTTGGGATTTGGGTCAACATCCAAAGAAAGGTATAAGAGAAAACTGTCTTTAAAAAATAAAAAATGCACAAAACAGAAAGGGAGGAGCAAACCCCACAAAGAGATAAGAATGAAAACCAGGTACAGATTGACCTGGATCAGACTTCAGGGAGCTTAATAACAGACAGTTTATTGACAGTGTATTTAAGCCCAGTTCAGCTTGGAAAAATGTTTCCTGGTGTAATACAATCCCCATTGCACAAGGAAGTGTAATTACATTGAAACTCAACTCAGGATACAAGTCATTTTTTTCCAAGAAGATGCATTCTAGAGATATGCTATCTGTACTAGTTTAAGGGCCTAAGGCTCTGGCCTGGTCTCTATCACAGAGATAGCATAGAGCTCATTTGGGCTGATAGACACCTCTGATCCTGGTTGTAGGAATTTGGTGGAGCCTCTGGCTATCAGGGTCATTTAGATAACTAGCCACCTCTGGTCTTGGTTGTAAGAGCTTGATATGGCCTGGCCCAACAGATAACACAGATCACCAAGCTGTTAATCACTTCCAGTTCTTAGCTTTCTGGTTGGAAGAACTTGCTTTTCATTTTTCCCATTGGAAAGACAATCCTATATGCTTAACATTCCTGGTTTCTCTGGAGATCTGTGGGCTCAAAGACCTTCTTGCTAGGCTCCCAACATCTCCTCCCTTCTAATTTTTTAAAGAAAACATAACGGCCCTATTAAAGGCCAAGGTTGAATATATTGCCTCTATAACTAGTTTACAGACAGACATAAAAGATTTAGTAAGAATACCTAACAGAGGACAGAGGAAAGGTGAAAGCCATTCTCAATTCATCCATCTCTTGACTGATTTCTGCTAATATTTTTGCTGTGAGAAAAATGGATATAATATGGCATATTTCACATAAACCCCTATATATAATTCTTAGCATGGCAAAATAGTATCGTATGTCTCCTATCACAGGTGTGTCTTTCATTCCTCCTGACAAAAGGAATTTGGATTCTTCATTGAGAAGAATTAGCATGCAATACAGTCATTAAATACAACAGTATCACTTTGGGTTGGTTTTCACTGCAAGCCCAAAGCCTCAGCTTGATGAGTTAAAGTCCTGGTGTCTCCCCAAATTATCAGCTTACTCTCCCTCTGGGACATCTCCTCTGGATGGATTTGTCATCTGCCCTCAGAGGTTTCATTCATCTGGTGGTCTCTAGATGTCCTGGTTGTGTGTTTTAGATGTTTCGTTTGTCCAGTGGTCTCTGGATGTCCTGGTCAGGAGCCATCTGGGACTTTGTTTATATTCTAAAAAGACTCAAGCATAACCTCACCATGATGTTAGAATATCAGGTTCTTTCTTTTTATTTAGCATTTTACTTTGGGTTGTGTCTTCTTTGCAGCAAACACTTTTGGGCAGAAGAAAAACTATTATCTTTTAAAATGAAATTATTTCAAAAAATTAAAGTTAATATAGCTAAATAGTTAATACTATGTGAGGATTTAGGTGGTTGTAAATACCCCCATTTATTTGTTTCTTTGTTTGTTTGTTTTTAATTTGCCAATAAAGTAGTTTATGGTGATGTTCCACAATAGCTTGACCCTGTGGATATGAAGAGATTTTAGGAACATGATTAATATTAAAATTTCTCAAATCATTTGTTAGCATAAGCAGGAAGGACCACTGTCGTTTTTAGTTGTAATGGGTCCTAGAAAGGACATGTATAAAGGGTTATTAGGCAAAGTTAAGTTCCAGAGAGACATAGTGTTTTTTCCTGGAGTCACCAGGGCCCCATGCTCTGTAGCTGACTAGTTAGGGAGAGGCCTTGTGCGTGCCTGAGGTGCACTTTGAGCACAGATCTTTACATACTTGAAGAGAATGTCCAAGACAGACAGCTGTGTTTTCAGATATCAAGCTGATGTCCATTTATTATTAATTATGCATTGGAAGTTTGACATATTGTATAAAGTTTGTCTTTATGCTGTATATAAACAATGCCTTTGATAAAGGACAGGCTCTTGTGGGGCTCTTTTAACTGTTTTCCTTGCCAGAGTCTGAGCTCTTCTCACACCAAGGGAAAGCATAAAACTGAAAAAGAAGTTAAATACATATAATTAGCAATGATCACTAGCTTTTAAAAATTTAAACAAGGCCTTAGCTTAAGATTTTAGGATCTTTAAAACTTAGGATAATTTTAGTTCTGAGCTTAAGAAGACCTTCTCACTAGGTAACAGGACATATAGAAGTACCTCAGAACTAACCATAGACTCCTAATTATGAGAAAACAACTGGGTTCCCATGGAAGTATGAATATACCTATTCAGCTGGTACTGTAAATGAAACAAAATTGTGAACAATATCAAAGCATAACAGTTTCACAGAGGAAGAACCTGCTCGAGGACTTAGTTTTTACTACATGTTGTAGGCAGTTTGATGTCACAGATTCTCAAGCTGTAACAAAAATAATTTAGGTAAAAAATTTCAAAAAAAAAAATCTAATTCTTACTGACGGTCTTTTTGGTTAGTCTTTTTGGCCTCCAAGGCCAAATGTATAATTATGATTGCATTTTTTACCATGGTATTATCCAGAAAAAAAACATTATAAAAACTTTGTTGATTCCTATTTTCCTTTTTAAACCCATCCCAAGCCTGTTTGATAATTTTTAAAAAGATTTTCTTACATTGTACGAAAGTATAAGTCTAAAACTTGATGCTTTAGTAATCACGAATATAAACAATCTGGGTGGCGGGGGTTTCCAGTGCCTAAGAGGCCTGAAATGGGGGGAGGGGGAACCTCCTAAGATAACTTAGGTTCCCGGGTTGTATATAGATGATCACAGGCAAGCTCTCTGTCTCTTTCTTCAGACTTTTCTTCAACTGCAATTTGTAGCTTTCATTTTTTGGAGATTCAACTGATAAATGCCACACCCCAGGGGCAAGACGATTGACATTCATGTCTCTATGACATGCAGAAGCTCCCAGATTATAATAAATAGCAATGTAAGGTCCCTCTGGGCCACAGCAGGAAAATGCCTTCAAACAAACTCACTTGCCTTGGGCCCCAGCGCTTGCCCGCTGGAAGATCTCTTTTCTGTGGTTTTATTTCTAGGCTCTTTCCCTTGCTTTAGAATTCTGCCTCCGTGGGAGAAGGGTGGGTCTCCTTTCTCCCTCCCCGGAGGACAAGGGCAGGACAAGAAGGACGCGGGAAGCCTGTTCTTGTCGCATCCTCATTTGTGGGGCTGGTGGCCTGGAGGTGTGAGGTGTGAAATAAGAACTGTATCTCTCTCTCGCTCCTTCCACCCGGCTCTAAGTGTGTTTCGGGTCACTTACACTTGCTCCATGTGTTTATCTATCCATGTTGACCAAAAGGAGGGGGTGGCTACATCCGGTAAGGTTTTCTGCGGTCCCTGCTGGTGATAAGGTCAGTTCATTTCTTCTACTGAATCAAAGAAGTAATATCGGACTTCAAATTTTGAGTTCTCCCGTTTTTGAAATGTTACTTCGCGTAATATATACCGTGTCCTGAAGGAAATTAAGAGATTCCCTTGTGAACATTCACCTCGTTTGTGGCCAACAAGAAGTATTTTGCGGGTTGAGGTGAGAAGGGTCCTCCCAATATCTCTAGGTACTTACAAGAAGGAAAGTCACGGTATATCTGAGAGAGGCAATCCTACCTTAACTATGCATTAAAATATACATATATAAAGCTTGGTCCACCATTTGAGCTCCAAAAAATGTGTAGTCCAGGCTGGTCTCGAACTCAGATCCACCTGCCTCTGCCTCTTCAGCATAACCTACCGGCCTGCGCCACCAGAGCCGGCGAGAGCTTCTTTGGCTAATGTAGTAGTTGAAGCTTCCTCTTGATGACGTAACTGTCGAGGGTGAGTGCCCCCTGGCGGTTCTTCTGAGAAATACACTCCCACGCTCCGGGCAGCTCCCAGGCCAGAATCCATTCTGCAACACAGCCCACGCTTGCCTCCGTGCACACATGCAATTCCTCTGCCCTGCGGCCTTCCACATTCACAGCGGCAGATCAGGGCTCGGCGGAAGGCAGCACACGGAGGTGGCCTTCCTCAGGGGCGAATGACAGGTCTCAAAACTCAATCCTCGGGAAACTGCTGGGGCCACTAGCACTCGGACGCTTGACACTGACTTCTAAATGCGGAAATCAGGAGAGGCCGGGTCAGGGTGGGAAGAGGAGTGGACACTGTTGGTCCTTGCCCAGGGGTCCCCCCATCACCGGAGCATTCGCCTCCCTTCAGCTGTAGACACCTCCTTCAAGGAGTCCACTAGCTCCGCACGACTCTCCCAGCCCCAGCTTTAGGTGAGTTCAGAATTTCTACCCATCCTACATGCCCATGAATGGGGCAAGATGTTAAAGAATGTTAACGATTTTCAGTTCTTTAAGCCTGAGGATGAGGGTGGACAAAATCCAGTTCTCACAGTGTTTCATACACAGCACAGGGTGACTGCCATTGTTTCTTTTCCTGTCGCTGTGATAAAATACCTTCTTGACAAAGGCGATTTAAGGAAGGGCGGGTTCATTTTTAGCTCACAGTTCAAGGTACAGCCCGCAGCTGGTCACGTGGACTCCACCATAAGGAAGAAGGAGGAGGGGCCTGCGCCCAGCTCACTTTCTCCATTTATACATTCCGGAGTCCCTACCCAAGGAATGGTCCTGCCCACAATTAAGATGGCTCTTCCCACCTCAGCTAATGTAATGGAGGTGATATCTCACAGACATTCTCAGAGACTCAGGGTAATTTAAATAACCCCTCACAAGTATGCCTACGGGTGTGATTCGGTCTCACCGGTGATTCTGCAGACTGTGCCAAGCAGACAGTTAACACTTACCATCACGGTTTTGTCCCTTCGACGTTTCAAAAAACTGTAATGAGCATACATTGTGAAATGGGTTCTGAATGCTTTGTGCAAATATTAAAATAGTAATGCTGTTCAGAGAGGATTCCAATGTTTGCCTGTTGCTGCTTTTTCCTCTGCAATGCGTTGATCAGACTTCATCTCTGAGTAGAGTATCTGGAAGGGGTTTGAAGCAGAAAGTGTTTCTTTGGCCTCGGGTTGGAAGTTTTAGTCCCAGTGTGCTGTTTCTAGGCCCATGGAGACGCAGAACACGAGGACGGGGAGTGGGTGACAGAGCAAAGCTGGCCTCGGGACAGTGGGCATCCAGAGAGTGACAACATTGGAACCAAGGATAATCAGACGCGTTCCAGGGTCTTCCAGCAGCTCAGTCTCATCTCAGAAAGCCGCCCTCACTCACAGTAAGGCTGTCAAATTACAAAGTCACGTGTGGACTGATTCATCGGTGGAGGCTGAGCCCTCATGGTCCAGTCACCCCTCACTGACTGCCTCCATCAGCGGAGACCCAGCCTCCCACACTCAGCCGCTAAACACAGCAGAGGCCATCTAGGACCGTACCCCTGTGCCCGCGAATTCAGGCATGGCCATGTGATTACTGCAGTCTACTCAACTAGTATCTTACTGCTGGGTGTTTTAAGAACCAGGGTGTAACTCCAGACCTGCCATGTTCCTTGACTGAAGTCTGGAAAGAAACCGGGGTGAGAGTAGCCAGCTCAGCTACCTCACCCTTCTGACCTGCAGACTGTTATGTAAAATAATGGTTGTTATATTAAATCACTACATTTTGGAGTAATTTCTTCAACTGCAAAAAGGAAAAAAAAAAAGTAAAATATAACCATCAAAAAAGAACCATATAACAGAAGGAAATATGGAATGTGTCTAGGAAATGAAGGTATCAACATGGATCCCAGGATATAGTATTACAAAATACAGTATTTTGTTCGGGGTTAAGTTTTTCCCCAATTTAATGACATATTCTATTTGAAGCTATTTCCTGTAACCTAACAAAACAATTGAGAACAGGTTATATAATACGTACATATACACTAGGAGACAACAGAGAGCTCCTGGCCCTACCCTGACGGGCTTGGGGCTCTCCGATTGCGCCGCGGCATTGGACAAGCGTGAGCTTGAATAAAGATTCTTTGCTTTTGCATACTGATTTGGGCTCCTTGATGGTCTCTGGGGGACTTTGCACCTTGGGCATACCAGGAACATCAATTGAGAAAATGCCCCCATTAGAATGGTCTGTAGGCCAACCTTTCACGGTGCCATCTTAATAAATATTAATGAGGGCAGGCTGGGGAAGCTAGCACATTGGGTGAAGGATTACCCCAGGACTGGTGACCATGGAGGTATAGGAAAGCAGATGAGCAAGCAGCCTTCCTCTGGAACTTCAACTTCAGTTCCCTTCTCTGTGCTCCTGCCTGGAGGTCCTACCCTCAAATCCCCTCAGTGAGGGGGTGTGATTAGGACCTGTAAGCAAAAGAACCCTTTCCCTCCCCAACTTGCTTTTGGTCATGGTGTTTTTTCTGACCTATAGAAAGCAAACTAAGACAGGGAAGATTCATGAAATGACAACACATATTTTTAAAAGAAGGAAAAGTATGTACTCACTCTTAAATGGATATTAAATGCAAAGCAAAGGATAACCAGGCTGCAATCCACAACCCCAGTGAAGCTAAGTAAAAAGGAGGACCCTAAGAGGGACACACATGGAGGGCCCAGGAAGGGAAAATAGTTAAGATCTTCTGGGTAAATTGGGAGGAGCAGATAGAAGGGAAGGAATGAGGGATGAGAACAGGAGGGACTGAGATGTTCACATGGAGGGAGGGATGAAGAGGGAGAGCAATGAAAGAGATCTTGGTAGAGGGAACCATTAGGGGGTTAGGGAGAAACCTGGAGCTAGGAAATCCCCAGGAATCCACAAGGACCACTCTAGATTAGACTCCTAGCAATAGTGGAGAGGGTGCCTGAACTTACCTCCCCCTACAATCAGATTAGTGAGTACCCTAATGATCACCATAGAACCTACATCCAGTAACTGATGGAAGCAGATGCAATGATCCACAGCAAAGCACTGGGCTGAGCTCCTAGACTTCAGCTGAAAAGAGAGAGGAGGGATCACAAGAGCTAGTGAGATCGAGATCACAATGGGGAAAACCACAGAGACAGCTGATCAAGCTGGTGGGAGCTCATGGACTCCAGCCTGTCAGCTGGGGAACATGCATGGGACCGAACTAGACCCTCTGAATGTGGGTGACAGTTATGTGGCTAGATCTGTTTGGGGAGCCCCTGGCAGTGGGACCGGGAATTATCCCAGGTGCATGAAATGGCTTTTTAGAACACTTTCCCTAGAGTGGGACACCTTGCTCAGCCAGGGAGGGGCTTGGTCCTGCCTCAACTTAGTATGCCAGACTTTGTTGACTCCCCAAGAGAAGCCTTACCCTCTCTGAGGAGTGGATGGGGGTAGGATGGACTGGGGTAGAGGGTGGGGTAAGGGGAGGGAGGGGGAACTGGGATTGGTATGTAAAATGAAAAAAAAAATTGTTTGTTTTAAAGAAAGAAAAGAGGGGAATGAAGAGGACAAGGACAATGAAGAGTAGAGATTCCGTGTGGCCAGCAGCAGCAATGGGGGAGGAAGAAAAGGCACCGGGTCCGATGAAGGTGAAAGAGGTCATCGTGCTAAGTGAACAGAGCAGACACAGAGCACACATCCGTGGGGCACATGCAGGGTGGGATGCGGAGGGCGTGTGGGAATGCAGAGCTCTTTGGCCGGGGGTTCGCTGTGAGCCCCACACTGCGAGCCCTGAAGCTGATGTCAAGGTCACCAGGCAGAAGGGAGACGGTGCAGAGAAGACGGAGAAGTGTGGCTCTCTGTGTCTGTGAGTGTCCCTGAGCACTGGGAGAGGTGCTGGCTTGAAGCTGGCTTTCAAGCCAGTTAGCGGAGATAGACTGGGAATTTCAGGGCAGCTAAATTGGTAGTAAGGTTGGGCTGTTAGTAAATGAGGAAGAGTTTCAGCGACTACACATAGGATTTCCCTTTTATCTTTTTTTTTTTTTTTTTTTAACTTTCTACCCTCCTTTTTCCCCCCCTTAAGATTGTTGTTTCCACACAGGCTGTCCGTGTGGTTGGCGGTGCGGTGTAAGACAAAAAAGGTGGCTGGAGAGACAGCCGTGGGTGCTGGGAACCGAACTCTTATATTTTTGGTTGTGAGCCTAGCCTTTAACGGCTGAGCCATCTCTCCAGCCCGACCGCTAGCCGCATTCTTTCCCCTTTGTGGTGAGCAGGCGTTGCGCAACCACCACGCCGCCCGGCACTTGCTCCTTTCCAATCTAAATAAACTTCATTTTCTCGGGTTCTGCATTAAAACCAAAGACCGGAGGTTAGAAAACAAACACAAAAACGGACTCTGCCGCCAACATTTCTGCTCTGAGCGGTGGCTGCTGACTTGTCGTTTCGCGTGTGCAAGACTAGAGGAAAGGAACCCAAGGGTCGGGAGGGCCGAGATGGCGGGTTGTAGGGAGGGGAGCGTGTCCCGGGACGAGTGCGCGCTGCGGCCGTGGACAGGCGCGGGGGTCGGGCGTGGGAGTCGGTGCGTGGGCCAGGGCTTGGGAGCTGCGGTGTGGAGCCGGCGCCTGTGCGTCTGGAGGAGCTGGTGCGGGGTGGGTGGGGTGGGGACGCGGGTAGCCGAGCCGGATCCGGGTGGAAGGAGCCTGGGGAGCGGCCTTGTGGCTGTTGGAGGTTTGCTGGGGGTGTCGTGTGGCCGCCGATGTATGTAGTCTTGAAAATTGGAGAAAAAAAAAATGTGTATCCCAGGCTGTCCTCGAACTCCAGATCCACCTGCCTCTGCCTCCTTCAGCAAATCCTACCGGCCTGCGCCACCAGAACCGGCGACTGCTGCACTACAAATAACCCTATTGAAGCTTCTGATTGATGACGCAAGCTAACGTGCGTCTAATGGGAAGATTGCCGCACCCATGGCGCCAACTGTATCTCGTTTTCATCCAAACCCACGTTCTCCACCCGCTCTCCATACGCTGCCCGCTGAACTCCCACACTCTCTGGCCTCACTCCTGCCGCTCCCACTCCAGGGAGTCACCCCTGCACAATCCCGGAAGGTCGCCTGCCCCGCGACCCCTGCGGGTCAACTCCGGGAAACCCACTCCGGTACCGCCAGGCAACTGTGCTCAGCCGCAAGTCCCTGCTGCCCCGCGCTCTGCCCCGCAGCCCACGCGTGGACTCGCTCTCCCTCTGCCCTGTCGCCCTCCACGTTCACAGTGGAAGATCAGTGACCGAAGGGAGGCTGCACAAGGTGACCGTCCTCAGGGATGACCGACAGGTCTCAAAACTCAATCCTCGGGAAACTGCTGGGACCACTAGCACTTGAGGGCTTGACACTGATTTCCACGTGCGTGACTCCAGGAGAGGCCGGGTCAGGGTGGGAAAAGAACTCGATACAAAAATACAACAGTGCGTGGACACCGCTGTTTCTTGCCCAGTGAGTGGTGCCCCCGTCACCATGACTGGAGCACTGGCCTTCCTTCAGCTGTAGATACCTTCTTCAAAGGTGCCCACCAGCTCAGGGGACCCCCATGCCCCCAGCTTTAAGGGGGATCCCCACACTCCCAGCTTTAAGCATCCTTGCCAAGGGTGGGTTAAGGATACCCACCATCTATGCATGCCCTGAACTTGGCTGTAGCAAAATGTTAAAAGAATGTTAATAATTTTCAGTCTTTAAGCCCAAGGATAAAGACCGTGAACAAAAATCCGGTTCTTGTGTTGTTTCAGACAGCATGAGGTTGTCAGTTAACACTTAACCATCACCGTTTTGTTACCAAAAAGGGAAAAATAAAAACGTCTTAAGCATGCATTCTGAAATATTAATAATGTATTGTTCTGGATCCCGGAGTCTTTGTCAAAGCATTAAAATGTTAGTGCTGTTCAAAAATGGATTCAGATGCTTGCTTTTCTCTACGGTTCATTAGACTTCATCTCTGTGAAAAATACGGGAGGGTTTAAGTGGGAAGCACTTCGGTCCACTCAGTTTCGGAGTTTCAGTCTTTCTGGGTCCATGGGGGATGGCACGAGACGGCAGAGTGCTTGTGGCAGAGCAAACACTGCCACACTAACACTGAGCAGCGAGACTGAGAACAGATCGGAGGACAAGACATAGCTCCCAAAGAGTACCCCCAGTGTCCTCCAACCATGAGACCCCATCTTAGAAAGCCTCCCTCACTTTTTGATAAGGCTATTAAATTATGAAGCCATGTGTGGATTGATCCATTGGTGGAGGCTGAGCCCTCATGATCCAATCACTGCTCACTTACTGCATCCATCCATCAGCTGAGATCAAGCCTCCCACACTCAGACTCTGCAGGGCACCAGACTCTTATTAAACACAACAGAGGCCATATAGGACTGTACCTGTGTGCTCGTGAATTCAAGCATGGCCATGTGACTACTGCAGTCTGCTCAACTAGTATCTAACTGCGGGGCATCTTAAGAATCAGGCTGTCCCAAATAATTAATAAAAACATTATGATGGAGGGAAAAAGAAAAAGAAGATGCTTCCATAAGAATGCGGCTATAGGCAAGCCTATAGGGCATTTTCTTAACTAGTGATGGAGAGGGCCCAGCCCATTGTGGGTGATGCCATCCCTGGGCTGGTGGTCCTGGGTTCTATAAGAAAACAGGCTGAGCAAGCCATGAGGAGCAAGCCAGTCAACAGCTCTCCTCCATGGCCTGTGCATCAGCTTCTGCCTCCAGGTTCCTGCCCTGCTTGAGTTCCTAACTTGACTTTCTTTGATAATGACCTGTGATGTGGCTGCATAAGCAGAATAATAGTCCCCCTCCCCCGAAAGAATCCGGCTGTAATTTGTTGTTTTATCTTCAGCACAGTGGCTGCACCTTAGTCCACTGCTATTTCATCCAGCAATTGAGACTCTGCAGTTACCCGCCTGCTTCTCTGTCTGACAGCAGCCTGGCAGGAATTCTGTTCCCACAGGCACGGCCCTGTCCCTGTCTCTAAAGGTAACTTGAACTAAATCTCTATTGTTCTATTTATAAATAAGACTGGAAATTCAAAGGCTGGGATGAAAACCTTCTTGCTCAGAGAGGCTGAGTAGCAATTAGGTAACCCTCTCCTTGCTGGTATCTCCGAAAGACCCTGACTTCGGCTCTGCTAAAGCTTAAAATAGCTGGGCCACTCTAAATCCCTCCCAACTACTTCCTGTGCTTCTCCCTAACTCTTCCGGATGCCCCCATGCTAGATGAATTCTTTCTGTCAACCAGTTGCTAGCTCAGCCTCCTGACCCAAGGTTAATTTTATTTAATTAATACAAACGCAAACTCAGGGTCCACAGTGTGATTGAATATCCCCCAGCAGTAATTGTCCTTATTCTCTTTACCAAAGCAGACAAGGCTGCCAAACCTACTAAACAACTCGAGACCCTCTGTCTTAGGTCTGCCTTATCTCCCATCTCTGTCTGAGACGACTCCAGACCTGCCATGTCACTTGATTGAAGTCTTGAAAGAAACCGGGGTGAGAGTAGCCAGCTCAGCTACCCCACCCTTCTGACCTGCAGGCTGTCATGTAAAGTAACATTTGTTGTATTCAATCACCACATTTTGGCGTAATTCTTCAACTTCAGTAAAACCAAATATAACCATCGGAAAAGAACTGTATACCAAAAGGAAATGTGGGATGTGCTAGGAAATGGGAGTTTCGACATGGATTCCAGGAACGGAACTCTGACAGTCTGGCCTGCAAAGCCAGCATCTTTAATAGCTCAGCCACCTCCTGACCCTCTTCTTTACTTGTGATGAATACAATATTTTGTTTGGAGTTAGGTTTTTTTTCCCACTTTGAAGACATCATTTGAATAAGTTTATTTTTGTAACTCAAATGAAATAATGGAAGCCAGGTGATGTAAATAAAGAAAACTGCTGGGATTAGAGGCATGTACCACCACAACCCAGCAATAGTTTATTAATTATACAAAAATAACAAGCTTCCTTGTGACATGATATAATACATTTTGGTCACATTGACCACACCTTCACCCTCACTTGTCTCTCTTCCTTGTGTTTATTCCCCTTCATAAATAATCTTTCTAGTTTCATGAAAAGAATTTT